CCCCTGCCAGCGCGCCCCTGGGCGCCACGGCGCCCTCGTGGGGTTTGCGGGCGGGCGCCGCCGCTGCAGATGATCCCTCACCGCTTGCAGCGCCAGCCCGGGACAATTTCATAACCTCACCCGGAGTAAGCAGCGAAGTTGATTAGCCGTGGGACTGCTGCAGTATTTTTAGCTGTAAATCTGTTTGTAAGTGGCAGTCTCCCAGGGCAGTAGAGATATTCTGGTTTCATTTGTCCCCAAGTGGAGGTATCAATTAAGAGATAATTAATCTGGCATTTCTGATATCTAAATGTTTCCCACTGTGCCTATGCTGCAATCAGGCGGGTTGCAGGAATATCAATGAAAAGCCCAACCAGCTGCTGGGGCCAGGCCGCACTTCTTGTGCAAGGAGCCAGCCTCCGAACTTGTAAATATCTCATTAAAACAGATTGCAAAATCTGCCACCGCACTGGCGAGAAGTTTTTACCATTGCTTCAGTGTGAGTCAGTCTGAGGAGGGAGGCGCGCCGGAGTGGTTTGCACGGGAAGGGGTGATGGCGAGAGGGGGGAGCCCCTCAGAGCGGGCACCTTCTTGCCCAGGTCCCACTCGGCCCGTGATGGGCAGTGGGATGCGGCAGGTGATGGTGGCCACGGCGGGATTTGAGCACGCTCAGGCTGGCACTGCTGAGACACACCACAAAAGAAAAAAGTGTGTCTCGCAGCTCTCAGGTGAAGCTCCCCTCGCCTTTCCCAGGGAGGGAAGGGACAGGCGATGAGTGGGAAATGAAACACACGGGAAAACTTATCCTGCAGTGCTTTCCCCAGGGTGGGGGCTGCGAGGCTGCCTTGCCCACAGCAGGGGACCTTCGGTGCCCTGGAGATCATGAGTGCCCCCGGTCTATGCCCAGGGCTCTCTGTCATTGCCTGCTTTCTCCTGGGGTGGGGGGAGCAGGCAGCGCTTGGAGAAGGGCAGCGATGCGGCACCCCAAGAGCAGGGCACGCCAAGCACGCCGGGGAGCGCATGGGCTGGTTTGAGCTAACCCCGGCTGCTGAATGACCGGGTGGTGTTTGCTTTTACATCCTCTGTGTGTGCTTAAAGGTGGTTAATGGCATTAGCTCAGTCAATGCCTTTCCTCTCTCCAGAAGAGCCATCATGTCTGCAACAGTAAGGAAAAGTTTTTATCGCATGCCGGAGCTGAAAACAGACTTCCCTGAGCAGCACTAGCAGCAGCCAGGGCCTGAAGCATTTCCCCTTGAAGCCATTAGCAGGGCTACTGTGCAGCTTCCTTAGAGGCCTGTACGGACCATTAGCTGTAAAAGTAGGGTCCAGATCCCTTTGTGTCTGGGATATTTTGGTACTAGAACCATTGGAAAAAAAAATTCATACAGATGTCTGCAGTGCTAGTGAGAGGTTATTCAAGTGTGCTTAACCGCTGCGCCCTCCCCGTGGCAGCATGCATGGGCCTGCAAATGAGAACAAGCGTATGTGAGGAGAAAAAGGTCATTGTATTTTCTGCACAGCAAGTTTGAAGGAGCATCTCTCTAGGATAAGGAAAGGAGAAGAGAGCGAGACCTTCTCTGCAATTGGTTCGAGTAAAGGGCTGAGCTGCTAATGATTTTCCTTGGAAACAAGTATCTTCTTGCCAAGCTGAAAAGCCTGCTGCCGGCTGATGGGACAGGCCTCTGGGGGACACGCAGCCTCTGCTGACTGCGGTTGAGGCTGATCCTGTCTCGGGCTGCGCTCCCATCGGTAGAGGACAAACGGTTCTGTGGCCTCTGCTCTGCACTGGGGTTGATGCCAGCCCCTGTGCCAGGGCTGCTCCTCGCAGACGGGGTGCAGCGTCCCACCGAGCGTGGCACGGCCCCTGCTCACGCTGTCGGCAGAGGATCGCGTTCCCCCGTCAATCGGGCTCCATCCATCAGCGCTAACTCAGCTCTACAGCCGGGGATGGTGAATCAGCCCCTGACGCAGCTGAGGCGCGTGGGCTGCACAAAGAGCAGCGCAGCCTCTGAAACGCAGCTCCCCCCCAGCCAGCAGCCCCGTCCCACCGCCGCTTTCCCAGGGATGGGCCTGCAAAGGGAGACCAAGGGCAGCCTGATTGCTCTGCCGATAGGTTTGGACTGGGTGGGGAGAAGTCAAATGTGGGAGCAGATGTTTGCAGAACTGCAAGTCAAGCATTGCTGTGTGCCACAGGTGCAAATCACTGCCCTGCTCACCGACAGATTAGCTGGGGCTTGGCGGGCCATGCTCCTGCCTGAGCTCGGGCAGCCCTTGGAAGTTTCCAGCACAGCAAGATTGAACACTGAGCTCCACACAGCGCCAACCTAGCAGACAGCATGTGATGAATTGGCCAGAAAATACCCATAACAAATGATACAACACCAGGAAAAGCAACGATCCCGCTCCAAAGGCTTCAGCTGCTGCTTCGACTCCGGCACATGGGGCTGATGCTTTGGCAAGCCAGCTTAGGCTCCCCACCAGATGCCTGAGATTTCCAGAGCGTGTTACAGCTAAACACAGCATGTGATTATTCCAGGCAACAATGATGATTCCCTGAATATGAAGAGATTAAGGGAAAAAGAGCACTTGTTGCTAATACTATTTGTTGACTTTGTGTATTTGCTGGTGTACTCCAGACTTGCTCCTGCACATAGGTAATGAGGCTGAGGGGGCCACACAAACGTGGAAGTGTTTGCAGGATCCCATGTGCAGCTTCTTGTTTTTCGCTGCCCTTAGCATGCCCTTCTCCTGTCCTTAGGTCTCCCTAATCCACAACAGGAAAAAATATCATTTACAACCAGGAAAATTAGCCAGTGGTCAAGTGGAGCGAGCCAGGTCACGGAATGACTTTTAGCCCAGACTGTGGTACTGATTTAGATCCAGAATTACTTGCAGTCAGTCTGGTGACATGCCTGTATGGGTGACATCCAGTTTGTCTGGCCAGGGGCAATGCTGCGAGAATTGCTGGCTGAGGGGCTGGTGCAAGGTCTGGTTGCATGTCACCAGGCCGGTGGTGAAAACCTCTTGCTTTTTGGGGTCTACAGGCAATACCCAGTATCGAGTACAGCTCCAGCCCCTGGGGCAGTTCTGAGTCACCTTCAGCACACATACTGCGACTCTCATGGGGAAGCGGGAAGGCATCAGGATTTCCTCCTTGGCAATGTGCTAGAGAAGAGCAGCTGACCTGTCCTACTGCTCTTAGTCATCCCCAAGACACCACAACCGTCCTATTGCCCAATTTTTAGCCATCACACCAAAACTCCCCATTAATTAGGGGGAAAGCTCCCAAATCTCAGCCTGCAAAGGAGGCGTGGGGCCAGATCTCCTGCCTTCATACCTTCCAAGGGGGTGTGCGTCCTGGTGAGGACCTGTTTCCTGGGAGAGGGTGGCCAGGGTCCCATCAGTGATGGAAAAAATCTGCAGGGCTGCAAGCAGTGCACAGTGCCAGCCAGCTGTGCCTCACCTCTCACTTCTCTTGGAGTCAGGAGGAAAAAACCCCTGCATTTCTAAGGCCAGCAGCAGCCCCCGCTCCCGCAGAGCCTGCGTGCTGCGAAGGCGGCTCCCCCTCCACACCCCAGCTGCTGGTGGCAGCGGGGCCTGTTTTCCCCAGCAGCTGGAGGGGGATGATGTGTGGGGACAGGAATGCGAGGGCAGGCAGCTGGGGCAGGGCACGGACAGCGTGGGGTCCCGAAGGCCAGGCCAGGCCAGGCCAGGTCGGACCCGAGCCCCGTGGACGAACCGACCTGGCCTGGCCTCTGGGGCTCTGCTTCTCCCCACATCTCCATCACCCACCCCAGGCAAGATGACACTGCCAGCTTGCTGGCTGGTGGCCCATAGGTGACTGCATCTTGGTTAATGCCCTGCAAGGTGCATGAGCTGGGGAGCGGGGGGGAGGCGGAATTGGCTGCTGCTACGAGCCGGCATGAAATCAAAGCTATGCATTCAAAAAAACATGACATTCCCCCTTGCCGGTGGGGGCTCTGCCCGGCGGGAGGGCTGAGCGCTATGAAAACACTCAGAGAAGCAGTTATATAATGAAGGACATGGGCCCAGTCCTGCCCTCAGCTTGACACGGTGGCTCTGCAAGGAGCTGAGCTCCAGGCTGCAGCTGCCCAGCACCCTCCAGGATCTGGCCTTGGTCACTGCTGCCGAGGGGTGGAGGCGGGACAAAGGCTGCAAAATGCTTTTTCCCAAGCTGGGAGATGCTCTGTATGCTCAGCGTCAGTAAGCCAGAGCCCAGCTCCCATCTGCGAGTTTAAACCAGGCCTCAGTGGTCGCAGGAGCTGGGCAAGGTCTGGGACGGGATAGCCCAGCACTGCTGAGGGGCAGGGGCTGCTCGCTGCAGGCATCTGGGCTTTCACGCTACTGCCCTGCAGCTCTATGCCAGGTGCCCTGGACCCGGTGGTGGCACATCATGGTACACATCATCTGTCCCCATGCCCCGAACATGTCCTCAGCTCTGTGGGAAGGATATGAGCTCTCCCCCTGGAGAACTGACCCCAGCAAAGGGCTGTGCCTATAGAGCTCCTCCCGAGCTCCTCCCGTGCTCTCCTGCTCCAAAATGGGGGTGGCTGGCCAGCCTGCCTCCTGCAGCTGGTCCTGCTGCCAGCCTGCACAGAGGGGTGACACGCTCAGCATCACATCCAGATCTGGAAATCCCCACTGCTCCAGCACAGGCATTCTGCAGAGCCCAGGGGATGCGAGGAAAAGGTTGTGGGACGGGATTCATTGCTCTTCCTGCGGCACTGTGAAGTTGCACACAGTCTGCTCGGATGC